ACGCTCTCACATAATACCAGCGTAAAATAGCAGTTTAACACTGCTGTGTTTCGTATGGTGAGTGTAGAGAACCAGATACCCTTTTTATTGTAAAAGAGGCATTCTAACTTAGTCCTCACGGGTGACAACACATCTGCATTTTGATTCGCAAACTAGGATAAATGTAGATGTCTATGGGTCACAGCAACCACTTACCATCAGGTGGACTGTGTACTCATTTGGCACCCTATTCCTATAAAAAAATCAGTTCCAACTAATTTAAATTGGAGAATTTGACAATAGAGGCAATCTCTAGCAATAATACGAGTTTAATTAATTTAGAATGCAGCCCATAAGTAAGTAATAAGAATTGTTTACACCTGGTGCACCAAAATATACAAGGCATGATGGGCAAAGAGTTCGAAGTTGATTTTTTTAAATACTTACAACATATTAAATATCTTTTGTATTACTGAACATTGGCTAAATATTATATTTTAATGTTTAATTTCAGAAATCACCAGATGGTCAGTTCCTTCAATAGAGAAAAAGTTAACGTGGTGGCTGCTTAATATAGCTGATAAATCATTATTATATAAAGAACGTAAGGATATTGTAAGCTCCTGTTGAGCGCACTGTAAAAATGGCTTGTGTCGAGCTCCAGCACCTCATTTTTGTGTGTTTACAGACCCCCATTTGCTAGTTACGAATATTTTGAAAAGATTGTGGAAGAAGTTTTGCTCAAACTTAGTAAACAGAACAAGTCTGTTGTAATATGTGCAAACTTTAACATCAATCTCCTTGAAAGTTCTTTCATTAGTATTAAGTTTAGCTCATTTAAATCGTATAATCTGGTTAATTTCTTCTTAGAACCAACACGTATTGCTAGGACTAGTGCGACCTGTATAGATAATATTTTTACAGATGTTAAGACCTCGCATAAATCAGTTATTCAAAATTGAAGTTCAGATCACTGTGGACAGTTGGTATCATTACCTATCTTATCGTGTTACATACACAAGAAACAGAAAAATGAGAAAGTTGTGTTTGTTTCAATAAATGAACATCGCTTGGAGAGGTTTAGAAGTAATATAATAAAATGACTTCCATCACTTTCATTTAAAAATAGTGCTAATTATTTGTATGGCACGTTATTTAAAATTATAACTTTAGAATTAGTAGAATTTTGTAGGATATTTACTTCTGAAACTTTCTCTTTTTACAGTCGCAAATCATTTAATGATTGGGCGACAGTAGGAATTTATATAAGAAGACGAATGTTAGACGAGCTTTATAATGAAAGATCATATAATCATAGTATTATATTTAGAGAGTATGTAAAAACATATTCCGAATCCGATGATATTCCAGACGTCAGTCTGAGCAAGATAAGAATAGCTCTCCAACACCTTACAAACCGCAAGGTACCAGGCAAGGATAGAATTGCAGCGGTGCTTCTGAAAGCAAGTGGAAACCGGTACTTGAAGTCCTTCAGAAGCTCATTAATTCAGTTGCGTAAAAGTGCGGCATTGAAGGTATTTTCTTTTTTAAAGAACATTTTGTTACGAAATACTTTCGAGACTATTAAAAAAACCAATAGTTTCGTTATATTTATGACCAAATGTACCGTGACTTCATTCGCAAAGTGCTCATAAAAGGGCTATAAATATTGTATCATACTGGAAATCGAAACGAGAACTAAGGCTTAGCAATATTGCCAGCAATACGTTTATTGCAATGTTATTGTGCAACATCTTGCAGAGAATATTCCGGCAGTGTTGCTTCAACTTTGCCGCTAAGCAACATTGAGGCTTTAGACTAAGCAATATTTCATAGCAGATGCAATTTTTTATTTTTTAAAGTTTACGTGTGCTTAGAATATTATTTCGCCCTTTTCTTTTACCATCACTAATTTTTTTTATAGAATAATGTTGATAGTACACAGTCCACTCGATGGCAAGTGAATGCTCTGATCCATAGACATCTAGATCTATCCACGATTAAGAGTCAAAATTCAGATGCGTCACCTCTGAGGACTAAGATAAGTGCCTCTTTTCCAGTAAAAGTGTTTCCAGTTCTCTACACTTACCATACGAATCACATGAGTATAAAACTGCTATTTTACGCTAGTATTTTGTGAACGCGTTTTCCTTCCCCGTGCGAGCCAGCTAAATCGTGCTACAACTATAATATAACTGCAGCATGGTAGCGCCACTTATAAGCGTATTTTTATTTAGTTACTGAATAAACAAAGGTGTCTCTATGTATATGTGGGTGGAGCTTATAATAACAGCGAGATAATTAGAATACAATTATTATTTCCGAGATTAGAAACACCGTAATACTTTCTATGAAACAAATAAAACAACATAAAATTGTTATAAAATATATTTATACGGTTTTCATACTAAGAAATTTTTAATAATACTTTTAATTTGTAATATCCAAACGAGAATCTCATAAACATGCACTAGAAGAGTGAGCTTATAGTGTTCGAGTTGGGCATGAAGAAACCTAATTTTGTAGCACCTGTAACTTTAGGGGCTGTTGCTCTTAAACGAGTAACTGAACTAAGTACCTCGGCCATGTGTTAACCGAAGATATAAAAGATGATAAAGTCATTGAAAGAGAAAGGACATCGCTGGCGGTCCGCTACAATATTCTAGCCTGCCAGTTCTCACGCTGTACAGCCGAGGTAAACCTTATTTTATTTAATATCTATCGCCAATCACTCTATACGTGCGCCTTATGGGTCAGATATAATAACGCTTTTAGATTTTTGCTGGGGCTCCTGCGTTACTGTAGTGTATCAGGTTTACTTAATAACGCCCACGTAGAAAACCTTTCCACGCCTATTCGCAAAAGAACTACGTCTCTGATGCACAGGGTTCATGGAAAAGCCAACAGCATTCTTAACGTAATTAGTGGGAAACCCTAGTGTGGTATTATGAAGCACTAGGGGCATGTTCATGTCCATGTACCCAGTGCCTCGATCAGGTACCTCAGGTATAATATGAAGTAATGTTTATGTAATTTATTACCCGTTTTTTAACATAGATTTTAAGACTTTTCTCTTTAACAAATTATAATCTGCATTAAAGGACTTACTATTAATATTATATTCTTTAGGAAAGTTTTGTTGGTTATTTTGGTAATATGTAATTATGTTGGGTCTGTTGTGAGTTACGGTGACATCATTTTATTATTATTAAATATTAATTATATTTTAAATATCATTATGGACACTTATGCATTTGATATATTAATTTTAGTAATGATTTAAAATTTTAGTAGTATTTATTTATTTATTCTTTATTGCATTCCTGAATCTAAAAGAATACAAAGGGCGAAATTAATGTCTTGAAGCATTCTCTACCAGTCAATCCATGGAGTGGTGAGAATTTGAACTAGGTGTAGCAATATAGAATAAAACAAAATAAAAATGATAGTTAATTACTTTATATATACATTTTGAATAAATAAACTATAGAAATATCTCCTACTTATACATATATACATACATACATAAATATACATTTATAAATAGTACATATAAATAGCTATGAATATATAGGTCTAACAATATAAATGACATGGATGATTCATGTAAGAAGCGTTGTCTTTAATAGACGATTATGCACCAACTTTTTAAAGCCAAACATATTGGGAGCTTTTCTGGTGCCATCGGGCTAGGAGTTCCAAAGGTGTGTAGCCTGAACTGTAAAGGAGATACCATAGAATTCTGTGAAATGAACTGGAATACATATTTTGTTGATAGAAGATGAACGTAGAACCCTATCATGAGATGATCAGAGATAGTGAAATTTACTCTTAAGATAAAAAGGTGACCCATTTTCGCCTTTAATATGGAAAAAAGGACAAGGAATATTCTGGAAATACGCCTCTGCCGGATTATAAGCCAATTAAGCTTAGATCTATATTGCGAAATATGATTATACTTACGAAGCCCAAAAATAAATCTTATACAGTTAATGAGAAGGAGTTTCAGCTTGTTCAGAAGATCCTGGGATAGATCCGATTAACACAGATCTGCATAATCAATTACGGGTAATATGAGCGATTGCACAAGCATGATCTTAGACTTTGTGAGGAGAAAATGTTTTAAACGATACAGAGAACGCAACTTGGCAGTGACTTTTGACTATTCGGGGTGCTGTCAATGTATAGGCCAAGATTTTTACAGACTTACTGAACGGTATTTTAATCCCATTGTAATAAATAGGAGGTAAGTCTGCAACATTAATCTTGGCTAGCATCCTTGAGCTACCCACCAGTATAGATTGGCATTTCAAAGTATTGACCAACACTCCATAATGAGTAGACCAAACTTTGACAGCTGATAAGTTGTCATTTAATTTTTTAATCTCATTATGGATATCCCCAATTTCAGCTTACATACAGATGGTACAAGCAATCGAAGATGGAGGTAATAAAGTTAATAATACTTGAAATAAAATATAGGAGAAAAATAGAACAGAAATATTGCGGCACTCTAGCTTCCACATCAGCCCAAGCTGAGGTCATTTCCCCCACACAGATTGACTGCTGTTGTCCGCAAATTTAAGATGCAAGCCATTCCTATGCTGTAGGGTCAAAATTTAGATGAGACAGTATGGAAAGAAGGATTTCATGATCAACTGTGTTGAAAGCATTTGAGAAATCAACTAGTACCAGTACTGTTACTTTTTTCTTCCATACCTTGTCTTATATCGTCTGTGACTAATTAACCAGTACTGGTACTGAGACTGGTCTGAAACCCTGGGGTGAAACCCAGACAAATATATACTCAGTAGGTTATGTTTCAAATATATTTAACATAAATTAATGTAATATTACCCTATGATTCTTGTTGGTCGAAATAAATTAATAAATGTAATAAATAATGAAATAAGATCAAAAGTGGTTACAACTGAATTAGATTCTAATAGTTAACAATAACTTATAGAGATCTAAAAAGAATTATTAAAAGCAGTATAACCAAACAAGTATACAGCGTGGTTTTATATCCCACTAGTTGCAGTTTTATTGTTTTCAATTTTCTCCTTCTCGATGTTCTGCGATGAAATAGCCTTGAGTTCTGTCATTGCGCAGTAATTTTCTACTTTGTTTTCTGCAATCATATTAATCAATAAATATTAAAGTTAAATAAAATAAAGTTAAAGTTACAGACAATGTTCGTAGAGGTATAGATATAGTTGACACGCTTGGCAAGCAACTTGGCAACCACAGTTATTTTAGTTTTAGTCGTTATTAGGAAGACGCTGTTGCTCTTCTCCTGCGTTATTACCCGCTGCCGCCTCTTACGACACCCATGGTATGATATGGGTTAGTGGATATTCTTAGAACACCACTACACGGTTTATTACATACATACAAAAACTAAAAACCTACTGATAGACGCTTATTGATGACGCAGTAAATATTATATGAATTTACAATATTCACCTTTTTCATCACCGCAGTAGAAGTTCCAGTGTTGTACCGTGCCTTTTACGAATATAACAAATACTAAATTTGTTACAAATTGTAAGGAAGCAAATAAAGTGAACACTATCTGCCATTTAGATTGATTTGTCTGAAAACATAAACAAAAACCCAAATAGTTGAGAATATTTATTAAGTGTGTGTGAGTGGGCGTTTGTGTGTGCGTGCGTGCATGCTTGTGTTTGTGCGTACGTGTGTGTGTGTCTCTCCTTCCCTCTTTCTCTCCTTCTCCCTCTCTCCGAGTGTGAGTATGTGTGTGTACGTGCGCGAACGCGCGTGCTCGTGTGTGTGTGTGTGTGTGTGTGTGTGTGTGTGTGTGTGTGTGTGTGTGTGTGTGAGTGTGTGTGTGTGTGTGTGTGCGTGCGTGCGTGCGTGTGTGTGCGTGTGTGTGCGTGTGTATCAACTATGAAAAACTAGGCTCAGACATTCTCATCCTCTCCTGATGTCCTCTTCTGCTGATACATAATATTATTTTATTTACATGGGGTACAGATTAGAACACGCCTTTGCTCTGCGGCTGGAGTTTGCATTTAAGTCAGAAAGAATATCTGTTCTTGATGCCTCCAGACTTCAAGGACCTGTTCACCCTTTTTTCCAACAGCGGTTTTGCCGACATAGACCAACTCATAGACTACGTCCAAATAGCTGCAGATTTCTTAATGCGACATATCCTCTCTGCAGTGATTTTGCCGTCATAGACCGACTCATAGATAAAGTCCAAATGGCTTCAGATTTCCTAACGCAACACATCTTCTCTGCAATGATCGTGCTTCTTTGCGATTTCGACGCCCACCACGTAGAATAGATGGCTTCTCGAATCAATGCTGAATCAATTCAGATCTGTTTACGACTTTGCCTTGGCATATGCGAAGGACACAAATGGTCTGACAACACTCAAGTACCATATGGTCTGACAACACTCAAGACGTTGAGGGTGCACTTCTCCTGTACCTTTAAAAGAATTACTACCCAGGCAAAGTCAGAGCATATCAGTCGATTTGGCGAGAAACTATTTCGCCTTCCTTCAGTAACCCGTGCATTACGGTTTCTCGCTAAGGCTGTCCAAGGGAATTTCTGTCCGCCATTTACACAGGAAAGACGATTCATTAGCCCATCCTGCATAGGAGAAAGCCAATCTTTAAGTCTCTCTCTTTGCGCACAACTAAATTTTTGAGAACACATAGAGGATAAACACATCGCTAATTACCCACACTATGATTGCTCCATAAGGAATGTGAATTTCACATAGCACTATGCGCAAAGCACTCCTCACCTTCGACGTTAACAAATCGAGTGGGAATGATAGAATCACTCCTATTGTGCTGAAAACGTGAGCTCCGTCGTTAGAACTGGTTTTATTCTTACTTCCAAGGTATAATCCGGAACAAAACCAGCATCGCATCTGCGAGTCCTGCGGTATTGTATAGGTTTGTAGGAGGATTACTTACATCAGGTGAAATTAGTCGTAGGTTCGTTTCCCTTTGATAAAAAAGAAAAAGTATGTCGCTAGTTATGTTCAGCTGAAAAAAAAACTCACCACGTCATCACCAACAATACTGGACACAAGAACCGGAACCCCCAGCCCTGATAAGTTAGCGAGCATATTTCCTATCGCCATTATTGGCCCAGCAAAGTTGGGAGCCAAGTCTATCTCGTTTATCTAAAAATGACGTTAAACATAAGTTAGATAGCTGATTTTCTGCTACTGTCATGCTAATATAAAACTTTAAAAGTAAATTAAAGATTAGTCTCTACGATGTATGTAGGATATTTTCCTTCACCGCTCTTCGCCCAAGGAACTTCATCCACTATCTTGCCACCTGTAATCTGATCCTTGTCCGTTATATAGAATAATGCATCAGGTTCAGTTAATACTTTTTACCTGGTAGAGCCATGCTGCAGCTATATTAATAGTATGGTTGTAGCACGAATGGGTCGGCTCGACCGGGAAAGAACCTTGCTCTCACAGAATACCAGCGTAAAATGGCAGCTTGACACTGCAGTGTTTTTTATGGTGAGAATAGAGAAACGGAGACGCATTTTACTGGAAAATAGGCATTCTATCTTAGTCCTCACGGGTGACGATGTTTTTGCATTTTGATTCTTTATTGAAGATAAATGTAGGTGTCTATGGGTCACAGCAACCACTTACCATCAGGTGGACTGTATGCTGGTTTATCACCCTATCCTATAAAAAATATTGGGCCTCTATAAGCAACATTCAAACATCTAACTTTTTTAAACAAATTTCACTTAATTAACTTACATGAAAACCGACTTGAACGCCTGAATGGAAACCCAGACAAAGCACCAGTAAGATCACAGCAACCATCGTGTCATGGACAAAACTAAATCCAATTAAAAAGAGTCCCGATATTGTCATACCTGTAAAAGGTTTATTTAAAAAATATAAAATGTAACAGACTAACATATATGTCCGATGCACTGCTGGGAACAGGTTTTCTTTTTTTTTCTCAGAGGGTATTGAAGACACCGCCGCGCTATGACAATGTCGGATTTCAAATGTTTTTAATTCTCCAAATTTTTCCTCATCACCCTTCTCGTGGTAGTCCTCCACTACAAATTGCACCTCAGTTAAATTTGATCGCGCTTATTCCCCGAGCTACCATGGTTAAATATATAATAAATGAGTTTACTTTGTAGTGGCGGCGTAAGAATATTCACTACCCCATATTATCCTGTAGGTTTCGTTAGAGGCAAACAAATCAGCAGATAGGCGGCGACGTCTTATTAATAACGAATTAAAAATTAAAAATTGCGGTTGCGAATTCGCTTGCTAAATGTGGCAACTATTGCAAAAATCGCCCCTATGACGCAATCTATGGGGTATGTTCAGCAGTAGACTTTAATAGTTAATTTTCTTGGTGATGCGTAATTCCCAGTACTGCTATAGGCTGTTGAAAAATTAATTGAATTTGAAAATATTTTTATTACTTCACCAGAATTCGGAAGATAACTAATAGAATTAGGTGTTACTTTGCGGTCCAAGTCCATTATATTAAAGTTGGTAAAAAATTACTTCGCGTACATCCGCTCGACAAAATAAAAGATGTGTCTTACCTAGTTTGAAGATCACCTCTAGCCCTCTCTCAATTGCTTGCACAATCACCGTCACCACTAATCCCAGCACCACTACTCCCAACACCACTACACTAGGAAAGACTGACACTGACGACAATACGACACGTGTTTCGCCTCTACACGAGGCATCTTCAGGTGATCTAGACTCTGCGGTGGCTGACGGGAGGTGCTTTTCAAACTAGGTAAGACACATCGTTTTATTTTATCGAGCGGATGTACGTGAAGTAATTTTTTAACAACTTTAATTAAGAATTCAGAAGATTTCTTGTCATTACCGTGAGCCACAAGTGGAGCAAGTATATAACATTTAATCTTTCACATGGTTAAGGTTCACGTCTAACGAAATCCTGTGGCAAAAAATAAGAAATACTGGAATGTGCGAAGTAATCAACAGGATCTTCACATTTTGGTTTCAAAATCAGATTAGTAGCTATGGGCTGAAATATGGAGGCTTCACCTCGCCTAAGCTATTCAACCTCTACGTCATTCCTGTCGAGTGTAATTTTTATGTTGTGCCCCAATAACATAAACCACGGAGACGATATGGTGTTGCTGAGTGCATTTGTCTGTGGCTTAGCGAAACCATAGAGCATCTGTAATAACTTTGTCTACAGATGTCTGAAGACACAGTTGGCATATAATGTCATGAATAGTGAATGCATGGTCTTTCAGCCTGGAGGAAATCTTTAATAAAACTTTTTGGGAATCCGCTAATGAGTCTGAAACAGTTTAGATATCTTCAGCATGTGGTTTCCTCTGACCCGTATGATGACGCGGATAGGAAAGAGAGTGCAGGCAAACATAATCGTCGTCAGGTTCACTCGTAGTTCTGTTTCAGTGAGAGTAAAATAAAAGCTTACAGGAAAAAGGAAAAGGCACCTTTTCATATGTTAGAAATATTAAACACGTGTTTATCTACTTTTTTTTTGTTAAAAAGCTAGTATTAATATTCATCCCCATTCTAATCTATTAAAACAGCTAAATCTACCATTTGTGCAGTTATGTATTTTTTTCTTAATTTCCGCACAAGTTCCACTACTTACCACTAGGTTGAATTGTGAACAAGTACTAGCATAAAATAAATTTAAAATAAAAAATAAGTTGAGAGCGCGCGTGCACACAGCAGCTTGAGTCACCTCGGCGTGTGAAACCATGGATTTTCATGGATTTGGCTGGCTTGAAAACCACTGCTATTAATTTTATGTTTATAATATTTTAAATAATTTGTTTTATTTGTCTTTTTCCTACTATTTTTTGTACTGCGTACTTTAACTGGAATAAACGTGTTTTCCTTTCTTTCATAGTTACAAAAATAGCATAACACCCGACATGTACCTACAGTATAACAATAGCGTTTTGTTGACAGATACGACCGTCGATACTAGAACCACTTCTGTATGGTTTATGTACTAAAAATCGTTCCTGGTTTAGGTTAATTATTAACTTTTTAAATTTTTTTTTGTTTTTACTAAAGCATCATGGGTGTATAAGCCTTTTTGGTACTATTTTTAATTTGTACGCAATCTTACATGCTTACACGTCCATTCAGTAATTTTACTAAACTGGACCCAAGATGCAAGTCGTAGGGCTGAAAGGACACATTATTCATATATACATATTTACACTGATTACCCATTGTGCTAGTTATTTTCTCGTAATCTCGAGGATAATAGCTGAAAATCAGTATTTGCTCTCTGAGCAAATTTAATCTCTGAGCTAGGACCCATTTGTAAAACTGCAACACACTTGCTTACAATAATTTGTACTTAGTTTAGTTACAAAATTTACGTTTGTGATTGGAGAAACAAATAATTGCTTTATCTATCTATCTATAACAAATAGGTTTTATATAATTGTATTACTAATACTTATGATCCTCGATGCATGATATAAATTATTTGTTTATTTGATAAGATAAGTACGTACCGATTGTGTTTGCTGTTCTCCTTATATTAGCTACTGACATCAGATTTTTGTTTGCTACAATATCAGATAGATACCCAAAAAACAATGACATTAAATACATCGAAATATATGGCAATGATGAATACAATCCATTCTGAAAATAAACAACTATTCGTTTCTATATGTGACTAAACTATAATTCAATAAAAAAATTAAACAAAAACTGTTGTGCTCAATTTATGTTCAAAAGTTATTCAACATTTTTTTACCCTTTTTATATCAACTCCAAGTACTTTGTTCATGTACATCGGTATTTGTGTAAATACCAGTAAGTATCCTACGGCGCTACCGCAATGTGCAGCTACCAAGCCCCAAATAGGCTTTGAAGTTAAAATGTGCTTCCAAGGGATTTTGCGTTTCTGAAAAATAATTTTTAAACACACTTAGTAAAGATACACTTTTTTGCCTCCAGCCAGGAGGAACATGCTCAATAAAAGCCCATTTTACATGACCATCAATATATTTAATAAATTACCAACAGACATTATGAACGAACAAAAATTTTATTTATTTAATTAAAGAAATGTAATTATACATGCTCGAAAGAAAAAAAATGTCGTTGGGAAACTTGTTTATAAACAAATTCGACTCACTAAAATCATACATCATAATATTGACGTATGTGTGTCTCTTATAAATCTGTAATAACTTTGCGATGGTATATACACTTTAGCTGTAGACTTTACTGACCTTAGGAACAATGTCCGCGTTTCCATCCTTTGTGATGTATATTAATTCCTCCGAACTTATACTTGGGTGGTCACCGGGAGTAGCCGATCCGAAGAAACACAGAAGGCCACAACAGATAAGACTACAAACACCACATAACCAAAATGTTGACGGCCATCCGAATTTGGGACTACCAGCAAAAAAGCCCGCTAATTGAAATGCCAGGATTGTACCAAATTGAGAACCTGTAAATGTTTTTAGAAAAAAATTTATGATTAGAAATTACTTTTTAAGATAATTAATAGAATCAGGCGTTTCTTTTACAACCTATCAGAAGTCCACTACTGACCCTAGTGGACCTCCATGAAATTGCCTCATGGGGGGTGGGATTTGCCAAAGTTGCCAAGCTTGGCAGTTTTTATTTTTATTTTTTAGTTGTTACTAGGAGTACGCAGTTGCGCATCTCTTGCATTCTTTTCCTCTGTCGTCTGTTTTAACACTCACGGTACAATAAGGCGTAGTTGATATAAGAACACAACCATTACACTTACCATACAACATACAACACAACCATAACACTTAGCATCAGGCTTGACTTATTAGCTAAAATAAATATGATATGTCTTATGTAGGTTGTACAGCCTAACCTAATTAGTTAAAGCATCTTCATTAACCTTTGCTAACTAATTTAACCATCTGTAAATTGATAATTTCATATATTTACGTGAATCTATACTACCTACATTGAATAAAGCTATTTTTACAGATTTTATCGTATTTAATCACGCGATTGAACGATAAATTCTGGCAATATAAAACTCACTTTTTATGATTAGAATTTTCTTAACTTCTAACTGAATCACACAAGATTATTTCACAGTTAAAATTAAGGTTCTCCTGTGTATAAATTTGACAATTCAACGAAGTATAATTTGTTTCTGGAAGATTAATTATTTGAAGAAAAAAAATCGTTTGATTCGACGATGTGCAGTGTCAAATAATTTAGATAATTTTTGCATTATTCAACACTGTGTCTTTGCCTTAAAAATCCGTTATACACGCGTGTCAGATTTAATTTAATGATTACGAAAATTCAAATAATAATTTAAAGGCTTTTTTAAATTGTATATTAGTTTTGTTGAGAGTTATTTAAGAAATATAAGATATGAAGTAATAGAAAAAATAACATTGATGATATTCGCAACATTGATGACATTGCGTGGCGCAGAGGCTTAGCAATGAGTTGCTGCGCTGGGGGCCGCGGGTTCGAATCCCGCACGGAACAAGTATTTGTATGGCCTACAAATAATTGTTACGGGTCTGGATGTTTTCCTTTAAAATTTCTGTTTGTAAACTGCCTCCACGATATATGAGTAAATCCGAGTGTGGGGGTAACGCTTTTTAAAGAAAAAAAAACATGTGACAAACGAGTTTTAAAAGTCAGGCATACAATTTTTTTTTCATCTAAATTAAATGAAACGCTCATGAGGCGTGCACTTTTGGATTTTCTAAACTATTTTTTTGTTAAGAGTATCGTATATAATTTCGTATGCATTGTTTAAATAGCTATTATTTTGACATTACAGACAGACACTTCAATTTTATTTATTAGTTCTAAATTCTAAATAATAATAAAACTGACTGCCGTACTGCCTACAGAAGTTAAATCTTAAAACTATTTTTGATTTAAATAATCATTAATATCATCATCATCATCATTACAGCCTTTCATAAGTCCACTGCTGAACATAGGCCTACTCCAAGGAATGCCACAAAGCAAGGTCTTAATCCACCTGCATTCATCGACTTCCTGCATGTCTTATCAGGTCGTCACTCCATCTCGTGGGGGGTCGCCCTACACATCACCTGCCGGTACGAGGCTGCCACTCGAGAAACTTTTTTCCCCATCGTTTGTCGGTTCTTCCAGCTAAATGGCCGGCCCATTGCCACTTCAGCTTACTAATCCGTTGCACTATGTCGGTCACTCTGTTTCTACTGCGGATATACTCATTTCAAAGTATATCACGCAAAGAAACTCCAAGCATAGCCCTCTCCATAGCTCGCTGAGCGACCTTGAGATTCCTCATACGGCCAGCAGTGAAGGACCACGTCTCAGATCCGTAAGTCATCACTGGCAACACGCACTGGTTGTATAATTTCGTTTTAAGGTTTTGAGGAATGTCTGACGAGAAGATGTGTCGTAGTTTCCCGAACGCTGCCCAGCCGATTTGAATCCGTCGATTGACCCCTCGGTCGAAGTTAGTCCCCTAGTCAGACTATTTGTCCCAGGTAAACATACTCATCAACAATTTCGAGCTTAGTGCTCCCAACAACTACCGGCATAGGTGTGACATGGACATTGAACATGATCTTTGTTTTGTCCATGTTCATCTTAAGATCTATCCGTTGGGAAACACTATTGAGGTCATTGAGCATGGTGCTCAGATCCTCCAGCGATTCTGCCATAAGGTCTATATCGTGGGCAAATCGAAGGTGAGTGATGTACTCGCCATTGAAGTTAATACCGTATCCTTTCCAGTCCAGAATCTTGAAAACGTCTTCCAATGCAGCGTTGAAGAGTTTCGGGGATATAACGTCACCCTGTCTTACACCTCTCTGCAATTGGATAGTTTTCGTACTCTGGTTCTCTACTCGGATAGCCATCGTAGCCCTACTTTACTAGCACTTCGGCACTTCGGTATACATACAGTCAATTTGGCACCACTGAAGGGACTGCAGCACTGCCCAAATTTCGACGGAATCAAAGGTTTTCTCATAGTCCACATACATAGTGGCAGGCATAGTGGCAAATTGTACTACTCGGACTCCTGTACAACTTGCCGAAGGGTATGTATGTGGTCTATGGTGCTTAAGCCCTTTCGGAAACCGGCTTGATCGGGAGGCTAAAAGTCGTCAAGTCTGCGCACCAGACGATTCATAAAGACTCCCAAAATCAGCACGTAGACGCGGCTCAGAAAAAATCGGTCTGTAGTTCTTCAAGAGAGCGTTGTCACCTTTCTTGAAGAACAAGACCACTGCACTTCTGCTCCACGCCTCCGGTGTAATGCCACCATGGAGGACGGAATTAAAGAGCCTCGGAAGGACTTCAAGTACCGGTTTTCCACCCGCTTTCAGAAGCTCCGCTGTAATTCCATCCTCGCCTGGGGCCTTGCCGTTTTTAAGATGCTGGAGGGCCATTCTAATCTCGCTCAAACTGACGTCCGGGATATCTTCGGAATAGTGTCGGATAAGACTCGCTTTGGATGGTTACTCACACTTGCGTGTGGCTCTAACGATGACGTGTACAGCTGCCCATAGAACCTCTCAATCTCACTCAAAATCTCAGGTGTCCCGGAAACGATGCTGCCACACATGGTCCTCAGCTTTGACAGTTGGCTCTTTTTGGCAGACAGATTTCTGGCAAAGACTTTGGAGCCTTGGTTCCGTTCGATCGCTTCTTCAATACAAGCTGCATTGAAGTTGCGTTAGTGCCGCCGCATGCATTTGGAGATCTGTCTGTTCAGTTGCCTGTATGCTGTCAAATATGTTGAAGAATGTAGCTTCATCTGCCGTCTAACAGCCATGAGATTAAGAGTGTGATCGGAGAGTTTTTGTGTTCTTCTGCGGCGGGTCTTGCAGAACTTAGCTCCGACGGCATGGACAGTTTCCACGAGCTTGTCATTCATAACGTCCACTTCATTGCAGTTTTCTAGGCACTGAAAACGGTATTGTAACTCGAGCTAAAAGGTTTCAGGACTTTGGAACAGAGCACGAGGGGGACAGAGCGTCGACTTCATTAGACGAGACTTCTCCAACTTAACGTTTAGGTTCAGGTGCATCTAACCATTCGGTGATCGCTACCAGTTTTCACCCTCGCGATCACGGAGACATCACTGAACAGTTGTCGTCTGGTCGTCATAATGAAGTCAATCTCATTTTTTGTCGAACCGTCGGGGCTCGACCAGGTCCACTTCCTGTGGGGCCGCTTCTGGAAGAAAGAGTTCATCATAAAAAGTCCCTCTTTCTCCATGAAGTCGGCCAGCTTCTGGCCCTTTGGGTTCCGTTGCCCTATTCCAAATTTCCCTACTTTCAGCTCACCGTTCTCTCTTGTGCCTAGAGATATCCTTATACATTTTCTCCACCTCCTCATCGGGGTGTGCCAAGGTTGGTGCGTAAACCTTTATGACCTTCAGCGAATACCGTTTGGTGATTCTGAGTATAAGGTACCTTCCGAGGCTCTTTAATTCCGTCCTCCATGGTGGCATTACACCGGAGGCGTGGAGCAGAAGTGCAGTGGTCTTGTTCTTCAAGAAAGGTGACAACGCTCTCTTGAAGAACTACAGACCGATTTTTTCTGAGCCGCGTCTACGTGCTGATTTTGGGAGTCTTTATGAATCGTCTCGTGCGCAGACTTGACGACTTCTAGCCTCCCGAACAAACCGGTTTCCGAAAGGGCTTAAGCACCATAGACCACATACATACCCTTCGGCAAGTTGTACAGGAGTCCGAGTAGTACAATTTGCCACTATGCCTGCCACTATGTATGTGGACTATGAGAAAGCCTTTGATTCCGTCGAAATTTGGGCAGTGCTGCAGTCCCTTCAGTGGTGCCAAATTGACTGTATGTATACCGAAGTACCGAAGTGCTTGTACAGTAGGGCTACGATGGCTATCCGAGTAGAGAACCAGAGTACGAAAACTATCCAATTGCAGAGAGGTGTAAGACAGGGTGACGTTATATCCCCGAAACTCTTCAACGCTGCATTGGAAGACGTTTTCAAAATTCTGGACTGGAAAGGATACGGTATTAACTTCAATGGCGAGTACATCACTCACCTTCGATTTGCCCACGATATAGACCTTATGGCAAAATCGCTGGAGGATCTGAGCACCATGCTCAATGAGCTCAAAAGTGTCTCCCAACGGATAGGTCTTAAGATGAACATGGACAAAACAAAGATCATGTTCAATGTCCATGTCACACCTATGCCGGTAGTTGTTGGGAGCACTAAGCTCGAAGTTGTTGACGAGTATGTTTACCTGGGACAAATAGTCCGACTAGGTAAGTCCAACTTCGACCGAGAGGTTCGTCCAATCGACGGATTCAAATCGGCTGGGCAGCGTTCGGGAAACTACAACACATCTTCTCGTCAGACATTCCTCAAAACCTTAAAACGAAATTATACAACAGTGCGTATTGCCAGTGATGACTTACGGATCTGAGACGTGGTCCTTCACTGTTGGC